TCCCCAGCCCAAGGCCCGTCCCCAGACCCAGGCCCAGCCCCAGGCCCAGCCCCAGCCCCAGGCCCAGACCCAGGCAGGCTTCGTTGCAGACCTGGCTGACATGCGGGAGAAGGCGGCCCATCGCCGGGGCCAGTTGCTGCAGCCCCAAACTGAGCCGTTTTTGGTCGCGGAGACACAGGTCGGCCCTTCCACTGCGGAAGCCACAGCACCATCGACACAGGGCCCTTCCCTTGAGCCAGCCACAGCACCAGCACCAGCCACGGGCCCTTGCCACGTTGAGGTAAAGGCCCCTCCACCACAACCGCCCCAGACTGAGGCTCCATCAACTGAGGCTGCGGCAGCTGCCACGACTGCGGCTGCTCCGACAACGGCGGCCCCTCCGACAGTGACCTCTGACCCCACGGCCGTTGCGCAGCAGACCCCTCAGGAGGAGGTCCCTCAAGACGGAGATTGGAACAGTGGAGGATGGTCCTGGTGGCAGGGCTGGTCGTGGCAGCAGGATGCTCAGTGTGCTGCCTCGTTTAAACACAGATGTTCGTTAGAGTGGTCTTGTGAGAGTCGAGACTGGAGTGCTGGTTTGTTCTTGCATTCTCAGGTGAAGGTCCTTCTGAGACAACGAGCCCTGTTTTAGCCAACGGCATCGTCTTCGAGCTCGCCGGGTTCGTCCGAAGTGATCAGGCTGTCAATGAGTTTTGGTTCCTGGCCAGCCACAACAACGTGGCAACATAAGAGCCTGAGGCCCTTCTTAGCTGCGCAGCTCGCAGGCCTCTCCTTCAACAAGTGAAAAAAAGGAGTGCTGCGCCTGAGTGCTTGGGTTTTTTAACGATTCACGTCCACGATTGGATGCAGTGTCCGTCCTTTCCCCTGTCTGTCAGGCTGCCCGGCTGCTGCAGCGGCTCTTCCCGCAGACTTCCCAGTGTGTCGGAGAGTCAAGTTAGTCATTACTCCATTCCTCATGTCAAGGACAGTCTGCAAAAAATGTTGCAGACGGTGTCGTGTTGGAATTCTCCCGGCCCAGGTTCTTCACGCAGCAGGAGTCGACGAAGCAGACAGCCACTGAGTGAGGTCATGATGCCACGGAGTGGTGGCGCCAGAAGTGACGGAGGTTGTTGCCACGACCCGCGGCAACCACCTCCAGCACTTCTGACGCTCCCACTCGGTGGTATCATCACCCACAATGCGAGGCAGGCGACACTTTCTTTCAGTCCGTGACAAAGCACGTTCTTCTCGACTCATGGACAGTCCATTAGAAAGTCGAGTTAGTAGGTCGAACCTGAAAGATAATTGCCAGGAGAAGCGCCGTGATGGTGCATGGCCCTGGACTGAAGCACGGCCCTCGTGAAGGCATGTGTCAGTAGGGTATTCCACAGCTGTAAGGCTTCTCAGTAGGATCCATGAAACTAAACATTTGAGTATGAATTATAGCGCATCGTATGCAACGGATGCATGACCTCAACGTTCAGGTCCCTCTACCGGACATGCGCCGCCACGGCGCTTTGCACAAGATGCGCCGGCACGGCGCTTGGTCCTTGTGTGGTCTTATGCTTGTTTTTTACTAATACAATGAAAATTAAACATGTCCTTTAAAAAAATACGCTATCTAATGTATTGCCATTTTAAACAGCATCGGGGGGAATGCGGCGTCACGGCGCTGAGGGCCCCATGAGCCTGCTGAATATTGCTATTCCTGTTTTTTAAATCATTAAACGGTATAGATAGAGTGGCACTCCTTGACGTTTTCATCCAGGTAGTATATTTTGAATTAGAATACATCATATACAACGGATGCATGACCTCAACGTTCAGGTCCCTCTACTGCACATGCGCCGCCACGGCGCTTTGAACAAGATGCACCGGCACGGCGCTTGGTCCTTACAGGTTGATCGTCTTCTTGTTTTTCTACTAATAAAACCAAGACTAAACATGTTTGTCTTGTAAATACATTGTTTTGCCATTTGTATAAGGCATTAAATATGCCGTGGCACTGTGCAGATCCCTTTACCCCGTGAGCCTGCTGATTGCTATTCCTGTTTTAACCAGACAAAGTTCTAAATTGAGATTTCGAAATAGAGTGGGTTACCCTTTGCGTCTTGCGCCGTCACGGTGCAATGCCGGCCATGCGCCGTCGCGGCGCATTGCAATTCATTCGTTTTAGTACCGGTGTCTCTCTATGAACATTCTTACTTGACAGAAATTGTTTGATTCATTCTGTTTGTTACAAAATATATACCAGTTAATTAATTGCATTGAAGAGTCACAAAGCCTCTTTGAATGAGGTTGTTCTTGGACTCATGCGCTGTCACGGCGCATGTTCTCTGATGCGGCGGCCCGGTGCTTGGTGGGTATGGTGCATAAGTGTAGATAGAGCAATCGTTCCAGACAGCTTACGTGCAGGTTTGCATTCTTGGAAGTCAAAGTGCTTGCTTTGATGGCTTGCGAGTCACGTCGTTCAGCTTAAGAAACTCAGGTTCTTCCACCCAGCCTCTGCCTCAGCAATCGAGCTGGATCCTCAGTCGAGAGACGGACCTTCCAGGAATACAGGAAAACATTGACTCATGCGCATGAATCACAGTGATGTTTGATGATGAGCCCAAGTGCTCAAAGAGAACCTCCGCCCTTCGGGCTTTGATTTGTAGTGGTTGATGGAGGACGCTCCGGCAATGAAGCCCTTCCTCGGTTGGGCGAGGTGGTATTGAGCAGCGTGAGCAAGGACTTTCCGGACTGGCAGCGGTCCTTCCTGGGTCACAGATCCACGTACTTTACGTGTTGCTCTGGTTTGGGCACTGCCGAAATCGCTTGCAAGCAGATTCGTGAAGCATCGGCAAAGGTCTTTCCGAAGCCCGTGCGGCTCATCTGTCGTTATGCAATGGATCCGGACCCCGATTGCCAAAGGGCTTTGCTTTTGCAGGACACGGGGCATCTTTGGTCCTCCATTTATGACTTCTTCCCAGAAAGCAAGAAGCAGAAGACAGGAGGTAATGCGGAAAGCAAGGTCCGTCACTTCTGCGACAGCTTCGACGCACGTAACGGCTCATCTTGCGAACGCCATGCTGGTTGCCGGTGTGTTCCTAAACGCACCCATGGCAGCATCTGTGGCAGTCCCTGCCAGCCATGGTCCCGCATGGGAGCCAAGCGAGGCCAGGGAGCATGACTTTGAGTCAGATATCATAAGATGTTGATATCAAGTCAATAGTTACATCCACCGCCGGCCCCCTGCAGGAATCGATGATCCCAGAACCAACGTCCTCTTTGGCTGGCTTGCAATGGTCAAGCAGCACCGGCTCTTCTGGGCCCTGCATGAGAATGTATGGGGATTTCCGAGTTTCGACTTGAATATTCAAGGTGGGTTGCCGTGTATAGGTCCAAGTTGTCACAAGTACTACTAGAGCCTTCGCTGGAAGCCCTGGCCCAGGATGGAGATGCTCGATGCAGCGTTGCCGGAGTTTCAGGTTTTTCACTTGAAAGGGAGCCCTGCTGACTGGGGTCACATTGGAATGGCCCGCCCACGTGTGTGGTCCATCGTGTACCATCGGGAGAAGGTAGAGGTGCTCTTCAATCCAGGCGAGGTCTATCAGATCCTCTGCTGCACCCTACGCAAAGGCTTGGGGAGCCTTCCTGCGTCCATCTTCTGGCAGCACACGCCGCCTGCTGACGTGGTCGCGATGGAGAACAGTATCAGGGAGCAGCGGCAGCTGGCAGCCCTGAGCTCTGGCCCATCAGATGACTGGTCCTACCTGCTGACAGAGAGCCAGCAGAGGCACAGCAAGCGTGTGAGTCCAGGTAAGGTCTGCAGCTTTTTTTAAATAGGTTTTCTGAGTGCAGCTCTCGTGGGACAATGTCTGTGAATGGCAGGCACTTGAGTGGTTATGAAGCGAAGTGGAGACAGCTTCATGGTGGTCCTTCTGATCTCGACGACGGCTGTGTCTTCGACCTGAGCCAGAATCCTGAGCACTGCTGTCTTTGGACGTCACGACACGGGTCCCTCCCGACCTTCCGGCGCAATAGTAAGCTATGGGTTCCGTGTTTGAAACGATTCCTCTTGCCGCGTGAGGCGGCCCTTCTCATGGGCTTCAGCGGCCCATCTTTGCAGCACGTGCATCAAAACAATGTCGGGAATGCGATGAGCTTGCAGACGGTGGGTCTGATGATTCTGGCTGCTCTTTTAAGTGCGGCCCCTCTCCCCAGGGCAGCTCCAGGCCCGGAAGTGCCTGGAGCTGCCCACGTGACTGCGGTGAAGAATTAAAAAGAAACTGCTTCGTTTTCTGTCGTGCACAAGTCATGGTCAGTCATTGACACAAGAGAAACTTTGAAACGTGCCTTGCTCGACTTTTACTTTGCTCCGCCCAGGTGGTCAGTCCATCAAGCGCCTCACTTCGGGCTGCTCCACGGCATTGCCATGGATTTGTTTACTTGGCGGTTTCCCGCTTCATGGGTGGGGGCAGTTCGCAACGAGCATGTGGCGGGTTCGCAATGGAGGCTTCCGGGGTTCGTATGCAGGCCGGGCGGGGTTCGCCACTAACCCTGCCGAGTTCGTAGCCGGAGGGTTCGTCGAAGCCCGGGTTCCTTTTGATTTTCAATTCAAAGCCAGGGTTCGCAGAACCCTGGCTTGGGTTCGTGGAACCATCTGTTTGGGTTCGTGGCAGGGTTCGTGCTAAGCTTCCTGTTTGCTGTCTTTGGGGTTCGTGCGCGGGTTCGTGGACACACGGTTCGCAGATCTTCGTTTGCTGCTCCTGGCTAGTTCCATACTGTATTGTTTGTCAGTCACTCGTAAGTGGCCCCAAACCATTGATGAGGCAAGTCAGGCTTCCAGTTAAGGCAGCTGCGGCCCAGGTCCCTCTCAGGAATCCTGACGAATGCGTCTGCTCGTGCTGGACAAAGACGAGGCCTTTGAATTGGTTGAGGTTCTTGCAGGTCGAATGAAAATAGCCTGAGACCCACCCCCCCCCCCCCCCCCCCCCAAGCAAGAAAAAGTCCGCAAGCTGAAGCATTGTTGCCCCAAACCCAACCCTGATTCGATGCCTCAACCCTTGGAAAAACTCCAAAGAATCAATTTGTTTTTTGGGTCTTCCTTTGGGTTCTTCATTCCTATCTGCTGTGTGACAGCTTGAGTCTATGAGACAGCAGCACCGACTTGAGAGTGGTAGGCCAATGCACTACGTTCAGTTCATTCAAATTCTTCAGTTTCTTTCATGAAAGTAATTTGTAATAGATGCATTGTAAGGAAATCTCATTAGCAGGCCTCTCATTGCTGTGAGCATGGCCCGCCAGCCTCCTAACCCACTCGTCGAGAAGTGCAAGGAAGTCCCTCACTTGGAGCACCTTGAGTTGCTCTTCTATGAAGACGACCAGAAAGGCTTGCTTCGGCACAAGACGACTGGGGAGGTGGTCCGTCTACCAAACGCCTTTCTGGGACTCCACTTTAACGAGCATGGCATGGCCTATCTGGAGATTGATGGGGCTGCGCCGATGTGGGCAAGCAGCTTGCTGAAGCATCATTTGTTCGAGGATGAACGGTCCTGCAAGTCGGAGGAGTTGCTGGAGAGGCTCTTCGTTGTCAGGAAGAGTCAGGCGGCCAATGATGGTCTTTCCCTGGAATGGTTGCAGGACCATCGTAGATCCCACAGCCTTCTGTATCCCCAGGACACGATGCGTGGTGCTTTCGAGGAGAGACCTTTGACACTTCTGTGCTTCCAGTGGGTTCCTCAGCACGAGTGCCAGTGCTACTGGCTGCTTCGGGCATTGACAAACGTGAAGAAGAAGGTTCTTCTCAAGAAGCTGCGTAAATCCTGGATCCCGGCTTTCAATGCCCGCAAAGTGGCGGGCTCCACGGACCATAAGACTCAGGGGCGTGACGACATAGTTTGGCCCGAAAGCGCGGCCGTTCCCGATGACAGGGACACGCGTCAAGGACATGATGCTTTCGTTTCTACCAGGTTCATGGTCTTCCTCATGGTCCTTCTCACGAAGCATTACCGGCATTGCAAGGAGTGGCTGAAGCTGGTCTTCGAGCAACTGCTGCCGAAACGTGTGAAGCTGCGTGTGAACAACAGCGCCCAATCGGTGCGGGTTCGTCATTGCCTTGTGGACCTCGGGGAGGTGACCCAGCGCTCTGCGTACAAGGAGCGAATGCGGCACTGCAAAAGGCAGGTGCCTCTCAGGTTGCGACAAAAGCTGCGGCTGGAGGAGGTCCTTCATGCACTCTGGCCCTTGAAGGACTTAAGATGGCTGCTGTGGGACCTGATAGATGGGGTCTCTAGGGAGTTGGAGATCGGGGTCCATCTCTCTCAATTTCACAAAGCGCCAGCAGACAAGGATGCCTTTGTCCAATCAGAGGCGGACATGCGGGACCCTCTGGTCCGTCAGAAGAGAATGGAGGCCGCTCTTGGCAAAGCCTGGAATGCCAACAAAAGAAAGGGCAGCAAGGCCCCTCAAACGGAGGCGCAGCGGACACGGCTCCGCATGCAGGCCGAGGCGGCCCGACGCTTCACAAAGACGCTGCAGAGGAAGAAAGAGCGGAGCAGGTACCTCCTTTCCGCACGACGGCTCTTCAACAACGCTCACTTCGTCCACGTGGGCTTGGACGGCGGAAGAGCTGGCGGACGCAAGCGCTGGCTGTACTGTGTGCTGGATGCGGACACCGGGGTTTCTGCATGGGCTCCTCCTCTGCGGTTCCAAGATGGCGGGTACCGTCCCCCTGACTCTGATAAAGGTCCCTCTGCTGCAGAGCAGAAGAGATTGGATGCCAGCAGCTTGCGGTTCCTCGACAGCTTGAAACTCATAGAGGCCACTGCTCCCACAACGGCCCAGCCCGTAGTTGCCAAGCAGACCCGTGGTCCTTCCTATGAGCAAGTGGTGGGCCTCGACCAGACGTTGAAGTGCATGTTTCCTGCTTTGGAGGAGGGTCTTGGGTCCTTCTCGAAGCCAGCTGGGGACAGAGACTTGAGGCTCCTTCCTACCTTGGTCGTGACGTCGGATGCTGGACCGGACCTTCAAAGTGCGTTGCAGTTTCTGCAAAATGGTCTTTCTGTCCGCATGGTCCATCTATGGGAGCCACGGCACAGATTAGCGCGAGAGCTGGAGAACAGCATCGCGCACACGGTCCATCTGAAGTCCTCGCTGGGCGTCGCAGAGATGATCCTGAACTTTTCCCGTGGTCCATGGTCTGGTCATCGCTGGTTTCGGGTCCTCCAGGCTGGGCTTCTTGTCAGTCAGGTATTCCGATCCATTAACTCATAATAAGTACGAAAAAAACACATCCAAATGCAAAGAGAGACTGAGAGTGAGAGAGAGAGAGAGAGAGAGAGAGAGAGAGAGAGAGAGAGAGAGAGAGAGTGGTGCTAAGTAAGTCGGGAATTCTGAGGAGGAGTGCGTGGACTTTGTGTTGATGTTGGAGGCAAGTGGAACGCCTGAGTCGTCGGCCCTTCTGCACTATTTCCGACCCAGAATTGCCCGTGACCTGGGCTGGAGTGAGGCGGAAACCACCATGGAGCAGTGCCAGGCCCGTCTTCGAGAATGTCGGTTCCTTCATGCGCGAGGTCCTTCCACCACATCCCGGTGGGACAACTTCCACCAAGGATGGAAGTCCCTTCGTCCGGAATTGTCCCTCCTCAGCCTGTTGCTCATCTCCTATGGTGTGAAAATGGGTTTCTTGGGAGGGAAGATGAGCCAGACACGGAACCCCGGTCCATCCATAGAGGCCCCCGAGGAGGACCAGGCGGGGACGATGAAGGGGGAGACTCGACAGAAGCTCTGGGCACGCTGCTCGAACAAGCTGCACTGTGTTTGCATGGCCCTTGTTAACGAGGGCCTTCGCTTCGACCTGGATGCATGGTTCTTCCTGTCGCTTCCACAGTCTGAGGCCCTTCACACGCTCCGAACAGAACTGCAGAGCGGTCCCTGTGGAGCTTTCAAGGCTCAGATGTCGGAATCAGAAGGCGCGGCGCTGGACATTTGCAACCGCATCCTGGAGCAGATGAACTCACCTGACGTGTGGTCCTTCCTTGGCCTGTGGTCTGGAGGTCAGCTGCTGGGAGGGTTCGCTCGCCAGATGGACCTGGCCCATCCTGAAGTCCGGCGCCAGTCGGCCCTGAGAAAGAGAATGCTAGACATGATGCTAGCCCTTCTGCAGCAGAAGCTTCTCTACGCTTCGGTTCCTCTGTTTTCATATCCTCAGCGACTGGTCCTTCTCGCGTCCCCATGTGAGGCCACAGCCAACGCAGCATTGGTTCATCTGTACCGCTCCTATTCCGCGCACCAGATTGCGTGCAGGACCAATTCCAAGTGGTGCAAAGCGTACGTGAGGCGCTCGCCCTTCCAATTGCAAGTGATGAAGGATGTGACGGCAGCCCTTCAGCGTGCAAATTGGACCATCAGCAAGGAGGTCACAGGCTGGGTGACCAAGGTTTTTTCTGGGTTTGGTGCGACGTGGAACGAGGAGGCGTTTGGAAAGGCCCGTCAAAAAGAGGAAACAGACAACCAGGCCCATGAAATGGCGGACAACGATCTCTGGCAGACGTTGTCGTTCTCTCGGGTCCTTCCCGCTGCAGGCTTGAAGGAGGTGGAGATTCGCGAGGATGTTCCCGACATCACCTGGCCGGCGTCCCTCTTCCACATCCAGCGACGCCAGGCAAACGAGCGTCTACGCAGAATCACAGGCCCCGCGACTTGGAGCAGCATGACGCAACAGAGCCTTGCCAGCGCTGCCTGTGAGTTGGCCCTTCTCTGCGACGCGGTGGAGTCCAACAAGGTCCATCTCTTGTGACTCGTCTTTTCTGCAACGCTCTGCCACTTTATTTTCAGTGTCCTTCCTAAATCCTTGGTTCTATTAATCCCCAGCAGCGGCGAAGAGAGGGAGGGGAGAGGGGAGAGCGGAGAGGGGAGGGGAGAGGGAAGGGGAGAGGGGAGAGCAGAGGGGAGAAAGGGGAGAGGGGAGAGGGGGGAGAGGGGAGAGGGAATTGGAGATGGGGGAGGAGGGGAGGGAGATGGAGAGGGATAGGGAGGGAGAGGTGAGAGATACGAGACGAGAGAGAGAGAGAGAGAAGAGAGAGGAGAGAGACAGAGACGAGACAGAGACAGATACAGAGACAGGACAGAGAACAGAGAAGAGACGAGACAGAGACAGAGGACAGAGACAGGAGCAGAGACCGAGACAGAGAGGGAGAAGAGAGAGGAGAGAGAGAGGGAGAGAGAAAGAGAGGAGAGAAGAGAGAAGAGAGAAGAGAGAAGAGAGAAGAGAGAAGAGAGAAGAGAGAAGAGAGAAGAGAGAAGAGAAAAGAGAGAAGAGAGAAGAGAAAAGATAGAAGAGAGAAGAGAGAAGAGAGAAGAGATAAGAGAGAAGAGAGAAGAGAGAAGAGAGAAGAGAGAAGAGAAGAGAGAGGAGAGAAGAGAGAAGAGAGAAGAGAGAAGAGAGAAGAAGGGTGGGGGGGGGCGGGGGGTACAGGGAGAGGGAAGGAGAAGAGAGAGAGGGAGAAGGGAGGGCAAGGGAGGGGAAGAGAAGAGGAGCGATAGAAAAGAGAAACTAGAGAAAGAGGAGAAAAGAGAGAACGAGAGGGGGGGAGAGGGAAGAGATATGAAAGAAGATAGCTGAAGATAGAAGAGAGAGAAGAGAGGGAAGAAGAGCGGGAGAGAAGAGAGAGAGAGAGAGAGAGAGAGAGAGAGAGAGAGAGAGAGAGAGAGAGAGAGAGAGGGAGAGAGAGAGAGAGAGAGAGAGATAGAGAGAGCACGAGCGATGGCAGCGGAAAAGAGTGTAGTTGAATTAAATAACGGCTCAGTGCCGAGGTCCGAGTCATGGCGGAGCGCGATGTTGACCATGGGCCTTCTCGTGCGACACAAGTCTTGGAGCAAGCCGAGATTGAGCATGGGCGCCTGGCCGAGCAATGCCGGCGTCTTGACCATGGAGGTCCATCAGACTGCACATGGTGGCTGGCAGGCCCGGGGGTGGAACATTGGGCAGACTAAATTGGGCATGGCAATTTTTTTGAAACTTAACTGAACGGCCCCTGGCATAGGTCCTTCCTGTGACCGCCGAGAGGCTTCATTGGGTGCAGGTGTGTATATTCGATGAGTGGTCCGTCCAGCCTGCCTCGGCGATAAGTCCTTTGGAACATTCGGTCCGAACAAAGGACACATCCGAGCACGAGGTCCCTCTTTTGTGGCCAAGTGGGTCTGAGAAAGACATTCTGGAGTATTGCGCCGAGAGGGGGTTCCCGAATGTATCGATGACGGTCCTGAAACTGCTGTTGAAGGAGGAGTTCGGGCAGGACATGGGTTCCTCGGATGAGTCTTTGGTGGGGGACCTTCTCCTGTCAGGAATCAAATGCGTGTTGGGTCCATCCGATGAGAAAGCGGCGGATGCGCTGGAGCTCGCATTGCATGAGCGTGAAAAAGACGATGCAGAGCTTTTGGACCTTCTCCAGAACCCCCTGTTCAACGAGGTCCTTCAGTCAAAGCAGGACCAACAAAAACTGGAGCAGGCAATCAAGGAAGCCCAGGCCAGTCAGAGGCAGGTCCCCTCAATCACAAGGTCCATCCAGCGGCTGCGGCCTGCTGGGAAGAAGAAGGTCAAGCGCAAGGCTGTCCGGTTCCCGGGAGATGAAGCATGGCCTGCTGAGGTTCTTCAGCGTTTCGCACCTGCCGAGTACCGCATGTACAGGGACGAGTTCAACAAATGCATCAGGGCCTTCCATAAAAGCTACAATTGGAGTCTATCGAGGTCGTGGGGCAGATGTGGCAAAGAAAGCGTTCCAGCACGGTTGGTGCTTCGCGGCGTATGGACACGCCATGAGGCACTTCATCCGAACGACCCCTGCCCCTGGGACTTTCTTGATGATTGAAATTCGAGCGCCAGGGTCCATCCAGTAGGCCCTCGACGAGATTCATAAAAGTTAGTATAGTAGAGTAACGTTTAGTATCCTGAATTTGTACTGTCACTGATCAGTTCCGTCTTACTGTGTGGGGCCATCCGGCAGTCTGCCGCTATTGAAAAGTGTTTCAATTTGGAGCCGGCCTTCGAACTTCAAGAGGCCAGGAAAAAAAGTACCGTGCGTGGTCAGCACAGACGAGGTGATGATGTAATGTAGAACTGCAGCAGGACCCACGCCAAGCCCACAGACGATGAAGAAACACATATATATATATATACATTTATATGTAGAATTCATAATAATAAGTTAAAGGTCAACTTGGAAACCTTACCTCGTGTTCTCCGCCGGCAGGTCCTTCGAACCCGCCTCCGAACTCCGCCACGGACTCAGCTATGGTTCTTCTCATCGTTTCCAGTCTGATGTATGCAACTGCTTATCAAATTTAGGGATCCTTTAATGCGAGCGTGCCCTTCTCGCAGGTTCTTCCCCCGATGAATCGTCGCAGAAGGACATGGTTCTGCTGACTGCTGGCAGCTGAGATAAATGACGAAGATTGTTTCAAGCCGGAGCGGAAATCTGCGAAGCGCAGGTCTTTCATTGAAATCTTACTGCGCGCAGCTCTCGTGATCAAGCCTTCGTCCCTCGAAGTCAACTAACTGTCTGTGAGTAGTTGAACCGGTGGTCCTTCAGTGAGCAATGCCGAAGGCGATGAAGAAAGGTGTTGCGAGCAAGAAGATGGAGAAGAAGGTCCTTCTTAAGGAGGCCGCCGCGAAGAAGAATCTTCGCTGCGCAGCGAAGACGACGATGGCTGAGGGGGAGGAGGCCACGCTGGAAGAGGGCTGCGGGCCCATCCAGCGCAGTGCTCCTCAATGTTGGCGTCCGTCAAGAAAGGGGTGTGGGATGGTTCCTCCAGCGACGACGAGGATGAGGACAGACTGGCTCCCTACATGAACAAGATCAGGCTCATCTCCAAGCCCAAGCTCTTGGACATCCTCTCCGACTTGCTCCCGCAGGCCCATCAATGGCTGAAGGTCCTTCCCCGAAAGACGAAGAAGGAGGAGCTGGCAGCGATCCTTGCGTTCCTTGTGCACATGAGTCCAACATCGGCCCTTCCGACAAAGATTTTGAGCCGGCTCCTCGAAGAGTTCAAGGAAAGATGGGCTGATTTTGGCAAGCGTGCCAAAGACTGGAGGCCCATCAGCGACAAGGTCCAGGACTGGAGTTACGTGACATGCATGGGCACTGACAGTCTGACAGACTAAATTATAAATGGCGAGTTTTCTTGTTACAGTTAAGTAATGATGAATCAAGTTGTCCTTCTGCTTTGTTGATGTGATCACGGTTAAGTAGCAACAGCAGGAGTTCTGGGACCATCATGCCTATTGGTCCATCGACATCAACTCGGACGCGACTGAGGGGTTCCTCTGCTACGGAGCTGGCGTCGACCCGACAGACAAGAAGAACAGGGTGGCTCTTCCTTCGGAGATTGTCTCTCATGCCACAACTGTGGAAAATGCGGGTTCCTTTGATGGTGCGATCATCAAGAAGGGGGCTTTGATGAGGAATGTGGTCCATCTGCTTTCGGAACTGGGCGAAGCGAACCGTTGGGTCCGTCCATTGTTCTTGAAGGAGGTCCCTGGTGGAGATGGGCAGCTCGGGAAGACGAAGAAGGCCCCTCCCGCTGAGGCGAGCAAGATCCGCAAGAAACGTGATGCTGACGGTGACGCCTTGCTCACGCCGCCCAGGAGGGTCCGGCAGAAGGGCAGCTCCGCGTCGAGCCCTTTGTCCTCAAAGGCCAGTAGCCATGCCTCACCGTCCCCGCACAAGATCAAGAAGAGGTTTGAGTCGCCGTCCATCAGCAAGAGTCGAGGCAAGCCATCAAAGATGCCCACTCCACCCAAAGGCAAGGGCGGTGTGCTGGATGTTGACGGCTCTTCCCGTTCCCCAAGCAAGCCCGCCAAGACCGGCTCCTCCCCAGCCAAGTCGAAGCCGAAGACCGGCTCCTCTCCTCTCAAGGAGGCTGCGAATAATAAGCAGCCGGGCTGCGTCACAGTGGACTAGTTTCCAGTGGTTTGTCATTTTGTCCTTCAGATTCATCCTCGCAGGTGTTATTGAATCAACCGAATTGTTAATATAATATTCTGAGTAGAGATCACATCTCCGGAGTAGGGTGGCCTGAGGACAAAGACATTTTGGCAGAGGACCTTCGCTTCACTTCAGTCAGTGCACGCGAGCGCTCCAGAGAACAAAAGCTAGGCATTGCATTCAGTCACTTTCTGGAAGCACACCATTGAAGTGTCACAGCTGGATGTTCTTGTGACGCTGAGGCACGGTCACCGACTCGCTGGGCCCGTCCGGGCGCCCGTGCCAGTGAGCCAGCAGTTTTGAGTCAGAGGTTTATCTTTGTTGCGCTGCTCTTGCTTTGTATTTGCTGGCAGCTTTCAGCGATTCTGTTTTGGCTTATTCAAAGGTTTCACTTCAATGCAGGAAGTACAGTAGTACAGTACAGACAGAGTCATTTTTTAATATTTTCTAATAAAAGTACATAATAGCTGAGTGCCATACTTCTTGACTTGAGGTTTTTCTTAGCCAGCCTAGTCCAGTGTCGGCGCACTGACTATTAAAATGGATGATGAGGATGATGATGAGTCAGAAGATGAGGCGGTGGTTCCTCAAGACTCACCCAAGGCCAAAGCCAAGGTCCGCAAGAACGTGTCGAAGTATGACTCAGAAATCGCGGACCTTCCTCCTGCTGAGCGCCGAAAAGCCTTGGCCAAGTTGTACGAAAGGAACCGGGCCAGTCGAAGGAAGAGGGTTAAGTCCAAGTACGAGGACCATCCCACGGTGAAGGCGGCCAAGACAGCAAAAGAGAGGCGAGCTGCCTTAAACAAGCTCTATGCCTCAAAAAAAAAAGGCCCTTCAGTCGACTGCGATGAGGCGGAGGCCCCTCCACTCCTCGATGCCGTGAAGGAAGAGAGGGTGAAGAAGGAGGTTGTCGTCAAACAGGAAACTGGTTTGCCTTGCGTCACTGGGGATGGGAGTTTTTTATTTAAAGGTTTTTGTCCTGCATCGATGAAAGCGACAAGAAATCAATTCAGGAGGAGTTTTCGGATGCAGAAGACGAGAACATCCCCATCCAGTGCCCCATGTGTGCAGAGCCTTTGCAGCAGCATCATCAGTTCAGGTCCCTCCCAACCACCCTTGCTACTCACCAGGGCTCATTCCTGCCCGCTCGGCTACTGCTCAGGAAGCTGCCCAAGCTCGTGCAGAAAGCGTGGCTTTGAGGGAGGAGCTCGGGTCCCTCCGCTCAGAGAAAGACGCCTTGGAGAAGAGCGCAGCAAACCTTCAAACTCGTCTCGCCATTGCTGAGCGCCAAGTGGTTTGGTACGAAAATGTTCGTGACTGGGTGAGTGCTGACATAGAGTCACGCCTGGGCCGTGGCCATGACTCTGAGGTCATTCCTGATTGGCTGGTCGTACAAGGTAGGTCCATTACGGAACTCATTGCTAAAAGCCGTGGTTCATCTTGCCGATAACCCAAGCAAGAATCTTCTCAACTATTCTTCAGGACTCAAATTCAGTGAGGCACCTTTCACGATCTTGTTGTGGGTCATCTGTAGTATTGTTTCAAGAGTATCGGGTTCTTCATACTCCCATCGATGGGGCCGGGCCATAAAAAGGAGCGTTGCAGTGCTTTGTCAGCCAGAAGTGAAACATTGTTTTTGCAGAGTTTCTCCTGCCCTTGGCAGGTACAGGGCCATTCCATTCGTCGATGCTGCAGATTTGTGGAAAAGAAGGGCTGCTCTTGTTTCTCTTGCGTTCCTGAGATTTGTGCAACAACCCGCCCGACCACTAACCCACCTCGAAACCCCGCAGGCTTCGCAGAAGTTCGCTGTGCCTTTTTGGGTTCGCAATAGGTTCGTCTCATTTTTGTGCTGGCCCCCCAAGTTACCGACCCCCTCTGTTTTACCCTCAACCTCCGCCCAGAGTGACCAACTGTTCAAAGCTGTCACTAAGATTGCAGACACACCTACCAAGACGCAGCTCGCATTGAGACAGGTCCTGGGAGAGTGGCTGGCGTTATACCTAACGGAGGATTGCCTTCCAGCAGGATGGAGCAAAGATGATGGAGACACTGGCAGGTTCCTGCCGAGTCCTTCGGGTGCAGACCCCATCATCACCTGCGATGATGGACTGCCAAGAAAAGGTTCGCCGGTGACTGCTGACTGCTGCAGTGACTTGCTGGAGTTGCTAAAGGCCCCACGTCTCAGTTCATATCTTTGCTCGCAGTGATAGTGCGGCATGCTGTGCAGAAGGTCCCGTGCTGAAAATGCTTCTCCGTCAGGTGGTGCCTCTGGATGCGATTGGCAACCTTCACGCATTCACGGAGGCAGCGGTGCAAAAGTTTGACTCCATCCTTTCCTCCGAGAAGAATCTTGAGCAGCGCGTGGTAGACAAGACGCGACAGTTCATGCTGCCAGAGAAGAGAAGCCTCAAAGATATGCTCGTGCCCTGCAATAGCAGATGCCCGTGCTGCGGTCGACTTTGTGACAATCTCCAACCTGGTCACACCAAGCACACCTGTCTTGGGCACCTACCACGTGGGTTCAAAGGAAACTACATTTCTGATGGGCAGAAGACCGCGTCCACACTGATGTGCACAGAGATGAAGGACGTGGGGATAGTGCTACTTGTTTAAAGCACGTCTGAGCACTTAGAGCGGACATTGAAACCCCGTTCACGAATTCGTTAGGGTTCTACTTGATCATGTTTCGATGGATCTCAATGGCGTTGCGACAGGACGCAGCCACCATCCTGTACAATGAGAATGGCGAGGAGAAGGCGGCAACGTGGCAGGCCCACAAACAGAAGCATCCAAGCTGGGAGTTCCCAAACCAACTCGACTCAGACCAAGCAGAGTTGGAGGGTCGCTTCCTGCAGGCTTGGAAGATGGTGGGGCCCCGCTTTTGCGAAAAGTACGGGATTCGATTCACCGAGCACGGCGAGCAAGGGTTATTGCTGGGTGCAGCCTCGCATTACCTACTGATCCTCGATTCCAGTAGCTCCATGAGGGGCGGAAAATGGTCAGACGTGGAGAAGGCGTTGGGCGAGCTGCTTGAGAAAGCACACGGAAGTCAGCATCGGTTTTCCGTCATCAAGTTCAACGACAGTGCGAAGGCGCCTGCTGTCTACTCCACGAGTTCCGAAATTCTAGAGCAGCTCAACAAGGGCTCTTTCTCAGTCGCCATCGGTGGCTGCACTTCATTTACAGCGGCTTTCAAGTGTGCGACAGGCCTGGAAATGCCTCAGGAGGACAGCTGCTGCCACGCTCGAACGATTGCTGTGTTCATGTCGGATGGTGAGGACAATCGCAACCAGGAAGGCCTCGACAGCGCAATGCAGGCGTTCAAAAATGCCTATAAACAGATGCCGATGAAGTTCTACAGCATCGCCTTTGGGAACGAAGCCGACGAGGAACGTCTACAGCTGATCGCCCAAAACATGGCAGGCGAATTCATCCAGACCGTTGATGGAGTGGAGTTGCAAGCTGCTCCTGCCTGAGTTGGTACGCTGATGAACGCAGCGACCAGCACAAGACTGTAGGGCCAGTTGCAACTTAACAGCTGTGTGCGAACTGGAGGGTTGAGAGCGCTGTACCAAGGCCTTTGCAGAGATAGCGCAGCAGTGAGGCCGACAGTTGCCCTGCGTGTTTGTTGGCTGTCGGGGATTTAGTAGGATTTTGCATTCGGTACCTTATCGAATCCAGTCCAGACGTGGCACAGCCAGCAGACATCGCCACTGAAAAGCATAGAGCTGGTCTAGACGGATGTAGGAAGCTCTTTCAAAGCTTCATTGGTCCGGTGATGCAACCATGGGTTCCCGCAGCAGCATCAAGCCTCTAAGTCCATGTAGCCTCAGCCCTGGGCGAGGAAAGTCAGCAACATGAAGGATTCCATGACCCAATCCTTATCAAAGCCTTGATGCTGCCGTTTATGCGAGGGAGTAGGTGTGCAATCTCCGGCGGATGCAAGGCAGGTGTGGTACGCTGGCCTACATTGCGGCACATGTTGAGTAAGACGCCGCGTGAGAGCACGCAAGATGTGTTACAGTGCCCTGCTTCTCTTTCATTCTGCTTCGGCCAATCAAGTTGTTCTTGTGCGTATTGAATATATCCATGAATCCCTCAAGGGCCTTCTCTTCCGAGCATCTTGCTGTTGCCACTTGATTTCACCTGACTGATTGGCGTGAGCGTACTACCCTGAGAAATGCCAACCCCCACAGCAGAATCCGGCGATGCCTTGTTGCCTGAAAGAGGCGACAACCCTGAACTTGTTTATCCGCTGCTGCTTGAGTGCGGTTAGGGCAACGGCGGACTTGACAGGAACACCTATGATCATCTCGTGCCGGAGCCGTATTAGGTTCTGGCGTGTAGTGTCCTGCAGGAGAGGATGGCGCAACAAGGTCCGGTGAATGTCCCAGGGGCGGCACCTCGCCGCATTGTGGAGGGGGTGCTCGTGCAGAGGCGTGCGGAGGTGCAAGTTCCGCCGCTGGCAGCGCTCTGCGAGCGACCCCTGCCATATCCGAAGCAGAAGCTGATCGTTCCGGGAAAAGATGCCAAGCCTTCAAGCCCCAGCAGCCCTGCGAAATCCGATGTGCCTCCGGACCGTGACATCATGGATGCCTTCATAGAGGAGATGAACTTCGCACCCAAGCAGAAGTTGCTGGAGGTACCAGGAAGTGGCAAAGAAGCTCGCTCTGCAAGCCCAGGCAGCCCAGGCAGTGGGGATGGTGAGGAGGAGGACCTGCCCGAAAGCCTGAGCAGCAGCCGGGCTTCCTCGGCAGAGCCGAGCAAGCAGAGGGCCAAGCAACAGCTCGCTGAGCTTCTGGACATTTGGCGTGTCAGGCGCCACTCCACCGAGCCTCTCATGGAGGAAGAGAGGCAGCGCATTGAGAGGGTCCTCTTTGAGACTATGCCCCCGGACCGGGTGAGCATTGTGGAGATTCGCCGTGTGGTGAAGCCTGGGCTGCTTCGCAGGTTCTGCGAAGAGGAACGAGAATCCCTGATGAAGCAGGCCATATCTGATAGAGAACTGTGGGCCATTTCCTGGTGAGCTGAGTGCCTAGTGTCAGATGAACGCCAGTAAAAACCAGTCACCCTGAACCAAACAGCAGCTCGGTGCATCAGACATCCAAAGTTCACTCGATCGGCATCTCACTCGAACCGATTCAAACCTCTGACAGGGTTATGAATATTAGCCGTCTATGAGTGTCCCCGTCCCCCCCTCGAGCTTTGCTTGTCGGGATGTTTCAATGTGTAGAGGCCAACCAGCAGAAGACCCACAAGCAGTTCATGCTCTTGCACGGCACGCGCTGGGACTACGCTCCGCTGATACTGGAAAACGGCCTGGACCCAACATGCGGCCATCTCACAAAGGGGACGTGGCTTGGAGGAATCGCAGAAAAGGCACATTCCTACGCAGCCAAAGGACCTGGCCCAGAAGTTGAGGGTGATGGCCCGGCAGGCTACCGCCTCTTCACCTTGTTCGTGGTAGCCGCTGTACCAGACATCAGTGACGGTGATGACGAGAGGTCGTTTGGTGTATGGCGAGTCCAATCTGGTCGCCGGTTGTACACGGCCTACCAGGTCATCTACTCCGCACCAATGGACTTGCGCAGGAAAGCGCCTTTGATCGTTCCGCGACCCAATAAGGCGGTGCTCCTTCGCAAGCAGAGCTATGACAAGATTGAGACAAGCCCTGTGCCAACAAGCCGAACTGGTCGTTGTCGGAGTGCGAGCCCCCCAAGACGCTCGACCTCTCCTGAAGTGCCTCCAGCGCTTCCGCTGGACTTGCCCCCGAAGGTGGCGACCACCGCAAAGGAGGCGGATTTTGCCGCCAGCAGTTGGCCGCTGGACGGCATGCGTTTGGGTGGCCTGCGCCCCTGCACTTCCCCTGCCCTCAAGGACGGGAGAGCCCTGCATGACTCTTTGTGTGTCCGTTCTCTTCTGCGATCTTCGTGAGCGTGTTGCAAAATGTTTTGTTGCAGCTTTGCAGGTGCATCAGCCGGCGCCCGATCCTCGGGCGGTCTACCGCCGCACCTCAGCCCCGAAGCTGGTGGAAGCGACAGGTCCGAGTACTTTGGGCAGCAAGGGAGTGACAGAGCACCGGGCCACACCAAGCCCAGCCTCTCGAAGCCCAAGCACGCAATCGCCGAGCCCAAGGCCTTCTCGCACTTCTCCTGCCCTGAAGGTCCGACAGCCAGAGAGGCCACCTCCAAGCCCACGCACCCAGGCACGACCGGTGGTCGAAGTCCCTCTACCAACAGCCAAATGGGAGGTTCTGTTGGATGATGGATGGGTCCCTTTCCTTCCCGGAGCCCGATTCAAAGATGATGCAGGCACGAAGGTGAGCATTTGTCACGGCCAGTTCTGGTACACACTCACCTTCGATGCCAACGGCACTACAGGGAAGCAGGCAAACCAGCGCACCGGTAAAGTTCGTCAACTTCGCAGGGTGCCCGAGCCTGGGGCCCCTTGGCGGAACTTTAAAAACGCATGTTTTATGTATCTTTCTTTCTTTCTTTCTTTCTTTCTTTCTTTCTCTCTTTCTCTCTCTCTCTCTCTCTGTGTCTCTGCTGCAGCTTCCTTGGGGTAGTCGCGAGGCCAGCATATCAAACGAAGAGACTGCAGCGACCACCGAGCAGAATGCTCCAGAGTCTGAGCTAAAGCCGGCAGTGGCGGCACCTTAGCTGATTTATCACTGATTCAGCAGGTTCAGCGGAAGCAGAAATTCCAGGGAAAGACAGAGAAGGACAAGTAGCTGCTTGTCGAAGCTTTAAGCATGGCTTGGGATTCACATAGTTGGCCATCGAGTTTCATGCATGCCCGCGTGAGCTAGTGCTGATAGTGTGCCAAGAAGTCAGAAGTCCCTCCTTGCGCCGTGCGAAAACTAAGGCAGGTGGCTGGGGATTCCCCAGCTTGCTGAGTTCTAACTCTCCTGTTAAACAGGCGGTTTAGGTTTAGGCGCAGCTCAATTGAAAAACGATCCGGTGCTTGACAGCCGCCGGTTCCCCTTTCGCATTTGCTGGGGCGGAATTGGCTGCTCCAGGAATCCTGAAAACATCCTGAAACCCTTGATCCACAGCTCTCGTCAAGGCGGACAAAGCCCTTGGCAGGCTGTTTCTCTCAAAGGCATTGCATGCCAGTGTCTTTGAATGGCAGCAGTCCACACAAGCTTGGACAAGCTGCTCATTATTCTAGATGCTGGTGAATGTCGAGGACCTCCACCGAGAGAATTGCCTCAGCAATGAGTTTCCAAGCAAACCTCAGACGTTCGACCAGTTGGGTAGGCCAAGGTTGCGGGCAAGTTAAGCTTGCGCACGGGCTTGCCTTTTTTCGACCTTCCTAGCACCGAGCAACTTGGCGGAAAGGCACCGGCCGCTGCGGCAGTATAGCGCAACTCCAGTGGAAGCATGTAGTGCTCGCAGGACGTAGGAGCAGAGGAGGCGAAGCAAGCTGTTGCCAGACGGCCTATCATGCAGTGTATCTGGGCAGTATATGGTTCAAAGCCAGGGCTGTCTAAGCAGGACAACGCTGCTCAACTCCCCTGGAATCATGGAGGTGTTGGTTGCTGCGCCAGACTCCGAGGCCCAGCCCGTCGAGTGCCCGTCCCCGGCATCCCCGGCGTCCCCGGCGTCCCCGGTGCCCGCCCCGGCACGGCCTCGACCCTCGTATGGACCCAGCAACTCTGCTCGGCGGGCAAATCGCCACCGAGGGACCTCTGGACAGGAGCCGTCCCCAAGTGGGAGCCCGTCAAGGCCCAGCACTGCACCACCTGAACTCAAGAATCTCCTGACGAGCACGCCACGGTCAAACCGTCAGGCCTGCCCTCAAGAGAAGCCCCACGAGAAGGGAGAAAGGCCCCAGGGGTATCAGGCTGTGTCACCAGCCACACGGCCTCGGATGGAACATTCCCCAGCCAAAACTCGAGTTCAGGACCACTCGCCTCACTCACCGACCAAGAACCTGCTCAGCACCCCAAGTACCTTGACCGCCAGCGCCAAGGCTCTGGCCCCGAAGACCACCGTACCACGGGACTATGCGCGGGCCCGGTCACAGAGCACACCGAAGCGGAAGGGTGACACCTTCGACCTCGCCCGCTTCACAGATGCTCAGAAGGATGGCGACACCTTCGACCGGGCCCTCAAAGAGATCCAAGCGGGCCGCAAGACGTCTTGCTGGATGTGGTTCGTGATCCCCTCGCCCCCGCACATGAAGAACAACATCGAGCACGGAAGCAGCCTCAACCGTAAGTACGCCATCAGGCGGGGAGGGGGGGGGAGTTGGGAGTTGGGAGTCGGAGGAGCCGCGTTCTGTATCCACTGTATGTCGCTGTTCTGTGTGAAATCTTGTTGCAATGTTCGAGTTTTGACACTCAATACCCGAGGTCTGATGAGGAGGGCAAGGCCTGGTTGAACTACGAGGCGGACGGCGTGGACTTGCGCGCCAACTACTTTGCCATCCTCGAGGCCCTTTGTGAGCACCTGGTGGCGGGGAAAGCGGCGCGGTCGGTGATCGGCAGTTTTGACGAGCCGAAGCTGGCCAGCTCAATCTTATTCTTCGAGCGGCTCTCTCGCAACGATGACAATGAGCTGAACACTTTGCTCGTGAAGATCGCAGGCCTCATGGAGCTGCAGATCACTCCCTGACCCTGTGAAGTGCTGAAAGCACGCTGAAGGTGCTCACAAGAGTTGAGTGACTTCATCGGCTACCCTTGGCTTATCACGCCGTTTTTTTTTCGCGCGGCAGAGGCGGTCACTGCGGGACCCACCTGTTTCGGCCTGGCATGTGACTTTACCGCCAACGTAATATGATGGAAACTTTGGACCGAACTTTGGACACTAGACCTCCCGCTCTGAGGAGAAACCAAAAAAAGCAAGTTAGAGTTGCCCCAAAGACCCCCTGAACATCCGCGCATCTGCATTTCCGCACTGCTGGAAAGGCCCCGACATGTTCTTGGCATCAGACCCATGCGATTGTGAGTGAGAGGCCAGTTCTCGAATCCCAAATTCTGGCTCGCAGGACGATTTACTGACGTTTCAGAGAACGAATCCATAAGCGGGGTGGTGGCGAGTCGGGGGGGGTCAGCCAATCTAGCACAGGTATGTGCAACAGGTGTCAGAAAAGTACATATTCGCGTAAGTATATTAGATTCATAGAGCAGTAGAGCTATAAGTGGGATACAACTTGCCACCACCCAGAATCACGCCTTCACTGGCTACTACCAGCTTTGCGTGCGCTGGCTTGGTCTTCTGAGGGCTTGAAGTTCGTGTGGTGTTCATTCTCCTTGCTGCATGGGTTTCATCGACCAACGCGAACCAGGAAGCTTCATGCTGCGGACTTGTATTGTCATCGCAACCCTTTGCAGAGCCACTGCCCGAGCATGTTTCAGGGAAGTGTGGACTGTGCACTTTCAGTGTGATGGGTTTCGGGATGCTGCGGGAGCAGAGGCCGAGGTTCAGAGCAGTAATTCTGTGCTCGCACTACCAAGTGTCTTGTGAGCACACTCTTTCACACATTCATCTCCACAATCATGTCAAGCAAGCTAAGCCTAGGCACCGCAACAGCCATTCCCGGCAGCCATGAGAGGAAGCTTGAAAGCCAAAAGGGAGGTCTCCTCAGAGCAGACCGGCTCTTGATCTCACTTTCTGAGGCTCTAACAGCACTGAGACCTGCCAAGCATGTGGCCAGTGCCACAGTTTGCGAAGAGTCCGAGAGCACCTGCTGGCTGCTTTGTGGGAGGTTTGCAGGGCTAAGAGCCTCTGTCAGGAGGTCCCCCTCACCTTCAACCTTGACTTGTTTAGTCCTGGAGGGAAGTCGGTTCCAGCGAGCCTTTGAAGCAGCACGGCTGTGCTGCTGCACTGCAAAAGAGCAGCCCCAAACCCTTGAGACAGAGAAGCCCAGTCCTCCTGGACATGCAACACTGAAACCCCAAAACCCTGAAACCTCATAGAACCCCAAAACCCCAAAACCCCTGGCTAGGTGCCTTTGCATCGGCAGAGAGTGCCTGTGCAAGGGGACGATGACCGAATTTCGCCCGGGGGCCCTGCTTTTGATGATCTTGGCCTAAGGCAGGTAGGGGGCATCAACGTATGCCAAACTGAAGAGCTGCCCTCATCGGTGAAGATTGCGGCCGCCTTGGGATTCTTACGTCTTCAGAACAGCTTCAGTTGCTTCCCAAGGTACAAGAGCGTCTACTTTGGGTCAGTCACGGCGCTTCCCTCAGAGGTGTTCAGTAGAGCCCTCTCTTGATGGTCGGCCGTTTTCCTCTCTTGAGGTGGGCTCTCCAGAGCAGAAATTTGCAGTAGTCTTTGACACTGGCTCTGGTGGCAGCCTCAGCTGCACCCACCTCGTCTAAACTTGTCAGGATCTATAGGCCATGCTGCCATGCTCGCTGCAGCACTCTAGGCGTTCTTTCGGTGCCTTGCCGCTCAGGTCACGTCATCATTCCTTCGAGCGAGCGTCCTCCTGAGTGCTGCTGGAGGAGCAGAGCTGTGGCAGCGTCTTGCACCTGTCCCTCAACGCAAGGTGCCACAGCGAGACCTGCCAGATCCACAACCGATACAATAGAGAGGCCGCTTGAAGTCACATAAACTGCGCAGAGTCTTCACCAATACTCAGCCACGGCTCGCTCCTTGCCTTGGAGGCTTCTTCGGCCGCAGTCGATGTCGACTATGATGGATCCCCTGTGCAAGCAGGCCCGAACTGATCCGCGTCACCTTCATCCGCCGCTGGTGGGTTCATGGCTAAGGAGCCCCACGGGACCAGATCACCGTGGCCTTCGGCACAGGGGAGGTGACAGGGCAGTTCGTGCAAGACAGGTGGGGAGTCTCTCTGCAACCATATCCCCGGCTCTGCAAAAAGAACCCTGAAACCGACCATCTATAGAACACCTGACACGGCTACCCTGGCCCAAAGCGACCACCACGTGCCAGGCTTTGCCTCGGCTCACATGGAGCTGCCAAGCCTGCCGCACCACCAGCAGCCACCCGAGCCTCAATGCGTGGTGCTGTGATCCGTGCAAATTGCAACACCAATCTGGGTATCAAATGTTTTATGCTGTAGAAAAGCAGGAAGCTATGGGAATACGCTCTTTTCATGTCTTGGGCTTTCAAATCCCTCCTCTTCAGTTTCAGTGTTGTGTTTTTTCTACGAAGTTTGCAAAAAAAAACACGCGATTTTTCTACGAAAGGCAAGTTCAAGAAAAGCAACAGCAAGCGAACTTGCCGGGGGTGGGGGGTCGGCAGAGGGTTGTAGCTTTGGTTGAGAGGACGGTTGCGCAGACATGGCACGCATGCGATCACAAGCCCGAAACTCTTAAACCCCACAAAACCCTAGGCGTCACCTTCCTACACGGAGCCCTTGCTCCTGGTTCAGCCCTAGTCTCGGCAAGGGCTCGGCAAAGCCATGACGTGAGCTTCCGAGTTTAGAGTTTTGACGGGTTAAGGGTTTCGAGCTTAGTTAGGGTTAGTTTATGGTTGTGGATTTACGGTTTGGAGTTTTGGGTTCAGAGTTGTTGGGGAAGTCAGGGCTGTCGGGGGGGTGCGAGGTGCGGTCTCCTGCTGGGTTTGATCAGTTTCTGGGTCCCCTTCACCCCGAAAGCCCCCGCGTGAGTTTCAACAAGATTTCCGAAGGGCTCCGAAGCCTTTCCTTCAGGGTTTAGGGGTTGATAAGGTTAGGTGTAGGAACGAAGGATTCCTGCCCAGCAGCGATCTCTGGAAAATAACGTCTACTGCTTGTTTCGGCGATCTGACAGTGGTCAAAGCACCTAGCACGTGAGGATTCTGTGTGGGTTGTATCGTAGCGCTCCCTTAGCCTTGGGGGAATAATTGCGGACATTCCAGCACGAACCGGGTGATGTGCCTAACACCACCCTCACAGGGGGGGGCGGGGGGGGGGGGGGGGGGGGAAAGCGAGTAAATTATGACACCGTTCGGACGAGCTCCTTGTATAACCCCCAATAGTTAAGACCGCCCCAATCTCAGACCCTAAGCCCGAAAGTGTCCCGTCCTTGCCTCTCAGATCCGGAGAAGCCGAGCTGGGTCGAACTCCCACCACGCAGAAAGGTTGCGAGCTCATGAGCAGGATGGGGTTCTGAGGGGTTCTGTATGTGGGAGTGCTTTGTTTTTGGGTGCTGGTGCTTTGTTTGGGGTGTCAGGCAGCACGACAAAACTGGATTTGTGCGTGCTTACTTCCAGTGCAGCGTAGTGAAGACGACTTGCATTTGCAAGCAGCTGCTGGTGCGGGTGCTTCTGGTCACCAGCCGAGTGTTGCATGTAGCCATAGCCCCTACTTGTCTACGGAGGCCCCGTGAAAGCTTAAGGGAGTGGCCGGCTTTATGACATGGTGCTCAAGCGAGGGACACTCCGGTGGTCAAGGTTTGCGCATCTAAGCATTTCTTGTGGAGGTCAAGGCTTCGGTGCGCGGACTCTTTATGCTAGGGCTGTCAGTCAAAGGTTACCTGACGCTGAAAGCCAGGTCCGAACATAGGCGAAAACTTTTGAACTGACATTTCCTCCCCCACGGCGCATGTGTCGAGGTCAGGCAAAAGCACCTGGCAACGCATCCAATACGATGTCGCTCAGTCAGGCGCGCACGACGAAAGCACAAGCATGACTTACAAAGATGAGAAGACCACATCGTTTCGTTCTTATTGTCGCACGATCCTTTGACAGAGCTGTGCTAAATATTGAAAGAACATGTCAGCAAGGCAAAGGGAAGTTGAAGACAAGGGGTACCTTTGTAAGGGCCCATACAAAGGACCATGAAAGTACCGTTAGAGCAAGCGTTTCGAGACAAGAGTGGGAAGCGCAAGTAACTCTTGGTATTTCTATTCCAGCACCACACTTTGAAAAATCGGTGAAGGTCCAACAGCGCAGAAGGCCCCAGGGCCCAGGATGCTGAGACTGGTGAAGACTCTTTCCATTCGGGGGCTGAAAAGTGTTACACACTTACAAGTATGTCCGACTCGGGGGCATTCTTTGCAAAGGAAGCTCTCGCGCTCCTTCACTCTCGCTCTCTCCCAATTCTCTCCCTTTCTCTCTCCCTTTCTCTCCCTCACATTCTCAGTCTTTGCAATCATGTGTGGGCTTAAGGTGGAGACGAGCGCACGCATCATTCTTTGCGCAAGCCCTTCCCAAGAATCAGTGACGCCTTTGCATGGGGTTGTGGCAGCCAGCCCTTGCCTGTTGTGCAACTTCTCAGCTCGTCGGCTGCCTCCTGGCCAGGTGCTCTTGTCGTCAACTCTTACTTGGTCTTACTTTGCCCTTGCCAGGCTCTAAATTGCGTGGACCTCCGAGTGGTCATGGCCACGGAGGCGAGGGTTTCTGTTTGCTCGTCGTAGTTTGTGTGCGCCTGTGTGCGCGCCTGTGTTTTCAGCATTTTGCGAAGAGCCGTTGCAGATGACGGAAGAGCCTTTCCACGCCTTCTCGTTCGATGGAGTGCTGGGCCTTGGGCTGCGACCCTAGAAGGTCTGTTTGTATGCTTGTATCTATGTACGTATGCATGTGGGTGGGTATTTATGTACGCATGTATGTAAGGCATGGTAAAGAACATATTCAAGGTAACGAGCATACTTTGTATGCGGCCAAAAATAAAAATGAAACATCTTGCTCTTGATTTGCCATGTGTCTTAGTCTTAGCTTTGCATTCTCCCTTCTCCCCTTTCGGCTCAAGCGCTCGGCCTGTACATGAAATGGGCCCAGGCCGGAGACAGGCACGGAGTGTGAATTGTGCCTGAGTGGAACTTTGGGACGCCCTTCCGTCCGACTCTAATTTGGGAATCTTTCTTCGATGAAAGGTACCCCTGCTTTTTGTTTCGAAGCACGAAAACCCCGATTGCCACCCCAACTTTCTTCGGAAAGCAAATCTCAAGTGATCTCAAGTAGCGGTCTCAAGAATTGCAAGTTGAGTACATTGTCCGGACCACAAGTAGAGCCCAGATGCTGAGCCTGCTGAGCGGTAGGTCCAAAACCGTTTTTGCGTTTATAGGGGTGAGCTTGAGAGCATAAGAACATCCCTCATGGGCACGAATCCCAAGAACAATGCATTCTGCTCCAGACACGTCCGTCATGGTGCCGGACAGAGGCAAGCACTCATCCGCCTCACCAAGGCTGGGAAGCGCGTTAATATAAGGCCTTCAGAACTTTTCCGATGCGGAAGATGCAGAGGTTTTGTCAGCGTTTGGGGCTTCAGGGGCTCAGGCAGAGCCGTCGGCTCTAGACCACAATGCCCAGACCCTGTGCAATAAAAACGCCAACCGATGAATCACCAAGAAAGCACGTCTTGCGCCACTCTCGCTGCAGGAGATAAAAAGCTCCAAACGCTGGGAGAGTGCCTTGCAGCCGGACGCCCAGCAGCTTCTAGTATTTTACAAGCAAGGCTCAGAAGTCTTTCGAAGCAGATTTGGGAGCTTGCGTCCACAGCCCAGGTTGCTCCAAGATGCTCTACCGACGGTGTCCGTGGATATTATCGCTGTTTCCTCAGGCCCGAGACTTGCACGTCAAACAAAGCAAAGTCGGGTTGATCCTCGGGACCCTCGAGCCCACTGAAGCCTGAGCTTCCTTTAGAAACCCCCTTGAACAAGTCACCGAAGTTTTCGGGAAGATGCCGAGTTCCTACTTTGGAGCCCTTGTAGTAGGAATCGGAGAGCTTCAGCGCAGGCAGCAGAAGCCCCCCCCTCCAAGCCCCCAGTGCCCCCCTTGCCGAGGGATCGTGGCCTGCGCACGCGGCCAGCGCTGGCCGTGGGCCTTGCGCACCCTCGGCCTTGCCACAAGGGCCGCCCTGGAGCTGGACCCGCAGCGATGTTTAGGGCTCAGGGCCATTTCTTTTTTTGTTTGGGTGGGGGGGGAGGGGGAAGGGGGTGCGGGGGAAGGGTTATTTTGCTGGAGAGGTTAGGGCAGAGCCGTTTTCGGTATTGGTGTTCTTTTTTTAAGGACAATGCTAATTCTAGTTCTAATCCTCACCGATGGTGGTAGACGGATGCAGAAAGGATGGTCTGTCTGTGCCGCTTGAGAGCCCCTGAATTGTGAAAAGCTGCCACCACGGCGGACATCACAAAGCACTAGCCACCCTGGTGTCTTCCTCGATCTTCTTCATATGCTTTGTAAGGGTGGTGTAGCAGCGGAGACGAGACGATTGAGAGGATCTCCAAACCGTCAGCGCCGCCATCACCGCTTGCGAAAGATCGGCGCAGTGGCCTCCTGCAGCCTGGCCATTTCGCAGCGTGCACATATGCATGTGTGTGATGCCGGGCGGGCGGGTGTGCGCGTGTTTGTGCGTGCCTTCGGAAGCCTGCTAGCAAAGTCTTTTGAAGCAGGGGGCATAGGAGGCCCTCAGAGAACCCATGCCAACAAAGACCTTTCTGATGGCTGGTGGTACGAGCTGGGGATGCCTTGCTCACGTACCTGCAAAGCTTGTCGTTGAGATGGCCCGAAGGGATTGCTAGTGTTGTACTTGTACACTAGGACAAATGAAATTCCTTTTCAACAATTGTCTCTACACTTGATTCGCAGCCCCAAATCCCCAGCCCCAGCTATGTTTCAAGTTGATGCATAAAGTGATGTTTGCATAGCAGATGCTTGTCATGCGGTCACGGCATGTCAGTTCGTGTGCTCTTGACCGTCAAGTTTGCATGCGTTTGTCATGTCATGCTGTAGCTGTGACATGTCAATATTCAATGTGCTTTTGAAGTACAAGAATTGAGTAGATGTGAAGCGCCGGCCCAGGCATTATGCTTTCTGGAGCAGCTGCTGGGCGGGCAGCTGCAACCGGATGCTGTCGCGTGCAGTGCTGTGGTGAGCGCCTGTGCGGATTTACAAGGACATTGACATGACTGGAGAATGACCGGAATCTGCAAACTGAGCTGTTCCTTGGCAAACAGTCCAGTTTATCACCCTTCACGGTCCGAGGCGCCTGCGGTCAGGGCAGTGCCTGGATCCAGGCGCTGGATGTCTTTGCAGCAGAAGCTTTGGGAGCCATCGCGCGCCTTTGCCGAGTTTGGAGCGACGAAGGAGAGGTTCTCGAACATGATTGTACGGCACCATACAAATCCGAGATCTCTAACAGGCCGCCTAACAGGCCTAGAGCTCCATCAGCTTCTCCATCAGTGCGGTCGGCGTACCATTGTGTCGCCTCGAAACCCGAAGAGTCCCAAACGACCTCAAACAGCCTCAAAACCTCCGAAAGAAACCCAAAAGCCGCTTCTTTCTGCCCTAATCACGTACGTGGATCCTCGCTGAGGTGCAACTCGGCCGTCTCCGGCTGCGAGCGCGCGGGGTGCTGGCGACCTGCCCTGCAGCTGCTTTGCCACGGCCTGCAAAGGCACTCCAAGAAAGAACCCAAACGAGGGCCCGAACAACCGGGGGGAGAAGGGGGTGCTCAAAATGATGCTTCCCTTCTTCTGTTATAAGCAGTTGTGTGGGGAACCTCAAAAATCATCCAAAGCCCAGACCCCAACATCCCCAACGGCATCCAAAAGCTGTTAGGGCCGTGGGCTTTGGGAGAGATCCTCGCTCCTTCATACGCCGAAGGAGGCTGCCGCCCACAACCATTGGATTCAACGCAGCGATCAGCGCGACGGAAGAGGACATGGGATGACGTGGCTCATGTGATACGATTGTACTATGGACCTCCGGTGGTCAGAAACGGGATTCCAACAACGAGGTCTTGAGTCTTGAGGCATGCTTGGCAACCTCCTCTTACGTGCTTGAGATGCAAGCGACATATCTAGCCCAAGACTTGACCGTTTCTGAAGATGCTGACAGCAGATGGCCGACGCCTTCAGCCTCAAGACATGCACACCAACTATGAGAGAAGAGGGCGCGTCGAAAGACTAGAGGCGCCTCTGCTTGCCTCGAGCCAACAGTCTCCAGGACCGCCAGTGGCAACGGGCCAGCTCCTTGTTCACGACGCTCGTAGAGGCAATGGGCAGCATGTTTCTGTGCAGAGTTTGCAAGCCGAAGCTACTCGCACCTCGTGGACAGACTGCTTGCAATTTCACAGCTGCAGCGGCCAGCATAGGTCGATGTCAGGTCTTGTTGTCTAGCCCGGCCCGGAACAATAGAAGCTCAGTAGCACAAACATTGAAGCCGCATCAAGTCCGATTGGTCACGGGTCACCTCTCCAGAATCGTGACCCCGATCCCATCTGGCACAGCAGAAAATCGTGACGAGTCACGAGAGCACAAAGTAGCTATAAGATCACTTAAGCAGCGTCACAAAAGATTTCAAGGAGGCCATCTCTTTTTCTGCAACTCCGACCTTCCAGCCCCCGCCCCCCCCAAAAAAAGCAGCAGCAGGTCTCCCTGGCACCCAGCGTCGTCACTTTCGGCGCGAGCGCCTCGTCACTGGCCGGCGCGCGCCAGTGGAGGCGCAATGCGGGGAAACCTCGGAGAATCGGCTCCGGGATACATGGGGATACGTGGGACTACTCGAGTAAAGATCATCTTGTGTTACGGCTTTTTTGTTTCCATTGAAGCTATCAGGAAGACTGCGAGCGCTGCTTTCCTTGCGTTGCTTGCACTACTGCTGTCACGCAGGGCTGTGTTGTTGCAGAGCGTCCGGGCGAGCGTAGTGGCCGTGAATGAGCAGCTCATCTTGTCCCAAATTAAGCCCAGAAGATCTCACAGTGTCTCGCGTCACCGAAGCAGACGAAGCCTGTTGAGTTGAATAGGAGATCACTCGTCATCCTCGACCAGTTGGATGAGTGGAAGGCTCGGACCCATAATTGGCAGAGGTCCGGGAATGGACATCAAAGGCCGCGAAGTAAGACGGTTGCCCCTACCTCAATGATGTGCCTGGCTGGTACCCTATGCTGGCAGCGAGAATTTAGGATAGCAGTAGAGTTTGAGGTCCAGCCGGGTAAGGATCGAAAGGCGCTGGCATGAACCATGACTTTTGTTATCTTGAGTTGACCTGCAGTTTCGGAAGTCCAGAATGAAGGTGTTGGCCAACGTCGTGGTGTTTAACGCTGTGCTGAGAAGCCTGGCGGCAGATCTTAACAGCTCGAAAATGCCTATTCACTTCTCTAAATCGCGGTCCTTCATTTCAGGGGGAGGGCGCGGCGTCTCACTGAAGGGGATCACCAGTAACATGGACGGCAGGGAAACAACACAGAGAACTGGCCAGTCGATGCGAAAGCCGACAAGGCCCTCAACGTTCAACAGCTCCTTACGTGCCAGTGCTAGTGACTGACTAGTTGCTACATTGCTCATTGTCCGGAGAAGTCCTCTCAAACTGCCAGCCTTTTAACCCTGAACCCTACCAAAACCACAGTTGGACCCTCTCAGATCTTATACATGCATATATATATATATATATATTGGGCCCGGATACAAATTTGTTGCATCTTGTGGGACCCAGGCGCGTTAGGAGCCGCCCGCCGGCCTGAACTGGCCAGCAAACTTCTGGAGACGATGCGTCGAAGGAGGGCCCCCCCTGATTCTTCGGGGGCTTT